CGGCGTAACTTTCTTTATTTGATATGAAGGGTAGCTTAAAGGGAATCTTACTTACGTCCGAAGTATTATTTTGGGGAATCACCCAACGTTTTCCTCAAACTCGAATGGCTTCTACTTCGTAGCCATTGGAAATGGCTATAAAGGGGGCGAAGAAACATAAAGGACGCAGCATAAGCTCTCGGCGTTGAACAATCTCTGAGGGATGAGCCATGCATTCGACTTCATTAAGCATCGTTTGGGGGTGATTGAATGCATATCTTGCCTTTACAATGACTCCCGGTGGCCTATCGATGTATCGGGCCAGTGTTCCTATCCTCCCAGACAAGTCTGGTATCAATTCGCCGACCCCGGAGGGATGGAAAGCTTGGTGGGCCATGCTTATAGGGATTGATTGAACGTGCGTGTTGCAGGGCGCCTCCGACCAGTGCGTAGCACGCGCGAGAGGAACAAAGGCTGTAGAAAATCGGATTTTTAACTTGGTAGAATATGTAAGCTTGTGGCATGTAGATAAAGATTTGTACAATGCTTTGCTTTCCAGCTAGCAAAATTTAATATGATCTTAGAAATCTGAGAAACGTTGCTTTAAAGTTGAAAGAGGTCACCACTTTCGGATCATCGGAGCAAACGCATTGCAATCAATGTATCTCTTAACCTTTCTGTTAAGCAATCTAGAAGTGATTGAATACATATTGCATCTCGACTTCTGAGGGACTCTATTACTATTTATTATTTACATAACTCGTCTTCGTATCTACTGTGCGGATTCTAACACTTGCATCCGATTCGTTTCCTTCACATTCATCGTTCACAATGCTCTCCGAACATTTCGCTTTTTGTCCTGGCTGCTGCTTAATGATTGTGTTTCCTTAAAATTAATAAAGTGGAATGTTAGTGGAGACGATTCTCCTCGAAATCTTGGACATAGCCGGGCTAATGCATCACCATGTAAATTGGAGGAAGGCGTTGGGTAGGGAGTTGAACCGACGCCTTTGTTTCCCGATCGACGGCACCACTAACCGCTGCGCTACGCCTATCACTGGTGGGCTTTGATTGTGTTAAGTACGAAGTACGTGCTATCAAACCAAGGACCACGTATGTAGCTGCTTTCGTGAAGGCACTTCGATGCAATTATTAAATTACAAGTCATTTACTGAGCATTTACAGTTGGCGCTTAATAAATAACGCTTTTCTGGTCTATCATGCCGTGTATAGAGAATTATAACAGCTGCACTAAGGATTGACATGGATGCAAATGTGTCTAATACACAATTTCGTAACATATCTATGCAGGGCGCGTCTAGCGCAGTGGTCAGAGGCGCCCTGCAATACCCATGGCATCGATCCCTGCGTGCGAAGCTTACCAAACACTCCATCCTTTCGGGGTGGATAGATTGGTACTAAATTTGTCCAGGAGGAGAGCAACACTGGCTCGATACATCGGTAGGCCACCGCGAGTCATTGTAAAGACCAGACATGCATTCAATCACTTCCAACGGTGGTTAATGAAGTCGAACGCATGATGCATCCCTCAGAGATTGATCAAAGCCGAGAGTTATGAGCTATTTGAGCTATTATGGTGGTTTGTGATCTCATCCCGATTACTAAGGAGTGTTCCTGAATGCCCAGCAACAATAAGTCCGCACTTTATTCCTTAAGCATGATTACTTAGCCACGTGAGCCACATATGTTAATTAAGAAACTTAGTTAGAAGCACAGAAGCGTTAAGAATTAGAATGGTGCAGCCGTTAGAAAAACTCAATCGTAAAGGAATGAATGTTACTGGGATCGAGAGAAACACTGCTTGTGGTGAAGTATACAAACGCCATAGCATGGCCGACTAAGAGTTCCAGTAAGAAGAAAACTTGTCAAAGGATCAAAAGACCACTCTGATTGGTATTATTTTAAGGCCATTACTAGCACTTAAGCAGCGATACCAATCCCCTAATAGCAAATTATCGCAGTAATGAGATGATTTGCATGCATTGAGGGGTGGCATCACCCTGTGGATCAAGTCAAAGCAGTCAGTTATTTTAGGAAGAATAAAACAGCTTTCGATTCTATCTACCGACTTTCGAAACGCACTACATGGCCGACCAACTAACGTCCAGTGGAAAATTTGTGGTTTGAACTCGAATGTGGTGGTCCGCTTCAAAATTAGTTCATAAGAACTATGAACATCCAGGGTAGAATTATGGTGTTTGTAACCAATATTTCCTTCAAAACCCCAACTAAGTGTAAATCTGTGCGAAGAGTCGTCACCACTCTGGAAGAAAAGTAGCGCCAAAGTAGTAAACCCGCTCTTTGAGATCCACAAGGGTAGGCAACGACTACCGCTCTCTGGAACGAATGGTAAAGTGTAATAGAGGATGGGCGAAGCAAAATAATAGTTGAATGAACCGCAAATTAATATCGAATAAGTGAACATACGAATAAGTATTGAAATAATAAATGACAGCTACGAAAAGACGGTTTTCGATGGTCAATGATTCCCTTCAGATTAATCACTTTGCTTGAGATTGATATTAGAAATACGACAAATGGTCATCATTGGTGTGCCGAGTGGAGTAGAGACGGAGGACATGAAGAGACAGGATGATCCCATCTATGGGGGTTCTAAGCATGATCTGTTAATCAATCAATAACGCTGATGTTCAATGTCGATTTCGCATAGACTCAGGATTATCACGAACTTCACTTTTAATAGATTTGGTCTCATGTTTACAAACCATTCTTAGTCCTTGCTCTTCGGATGCTTCATACCGATTCTTCAATCGTTAACTCAAAGTACTTTGCGAAGTATCCTAAAAGATACCTGTTTCTAAAAATCTTTTCATTGAACGATATATAACATCAAGATAAATAATAAGGATAAAGGATAAAGCTCTCAGCGTTGGTCAATCCCTAAGTGATGCGCCGCGCATTCGACTTCATTAAGCATCGTTGGAAATCACTGAATGCATATCTAACCTTTCCAATAACTCGCGCTGGCCTGCCGATGTATCGAGCCAGTGCTGCAGTCCTCCCAGACAGTTCTGGTACCAATTTGACGACCCCAGAGGGATGGAAGATTTGGTGGGCCATAGACGCGGGGATCGATTCCACGTGTACTACAGGGCGCTTCCAACCTCTGCGTTACACATCATCAAGACAGGCTGCATAAACTGGAATGGAAGTCGATTTTTGATTTTTAAAATTATCACTATGAAAAACCCATCTGCATGAAGATGAATAAAATCTTATGCTGTTGGTGCCGAAAGTCCTTAGACCTTGAATTCATATTTGTTCACCGAGCTTTGGGAACAATCACTTCTTTCTATCGCATATCGTTATGAGAAATACGACCGTTCCTAGGATAATGCTGAATAGCGAATGAACACGCGGGGCAAGAGTGGGCACATTTAGGAGCATTCCTTGGTGTCAAACACCGATGTACAGTAGAATGTTTATCTCCCAAATAGTGTTACCTATGTTGCGATATTGTTGATTTCCATTAGGAAGCCAATAAGACTAACTAACGACTAAATGTGTTCTGGAACCCATCACCATTCTCAAGGAAACCCATTTACAAAGCTGCTTCTGGTCCATACAGGCCGAGAACTACTGCATCTGCATATCAGCGATCGTTGGGCGTTATGCGTTGATAACTAGTCTAAGCGCCTCTAACATTATCTACTGAGACTTAAGGAAGAAGTGTGGATAACAAGACGGTTACAATATTGGTTAAATAAAAAATAGGCAAGATTTTTTGAGTCATGGAGAAGACATGTCGGCCACAAGTAGTCTGAAACTGTTATATTTTCTCAACTCTACGATGAGATACCGTCAACTTACATCATACAACTTTTTTTACAACAAGGTTATGTCAAATGTCAATTTTGAGATAATTTAATGATCTCATAAAGGAATAAACCCTCAGGGAACTCATTTCCGGCGAACATCTCTTGTTGAAGTGCATATGGAGGTCGGGGAACATCGTCTAGGTAATCGCTTGCTGCTTGATGACCTGTTGTTTTCTCTGGACGACAAGGTGAATGACAGGAGAGTGTAGCGTCGATCTTTCCACTTCCTGATGTGTCGTGCCAAGGATTTCCAACACTTTCATCACAGGCATTCGTCGATCCATTTCAGTTTGGAAGTTACCTCCTTTACGATTATGGTACGTCCATGATTGTAGCTACTCCTGTGATTAGTAAACTAACCGGTAAAGTAGGTAACAGAAGAGACAACAAGAACAAGAGGTAAGAAACACAACAGTTCGCACAACTAGCAGAACTGTCAACTTATTGAGAAATCTTTGTTCTCCCTAATGTCTGTGCTCAGGAAAACCTGCAGCGGTGAAATACGAAACGGTACCAAACTGTATCCGGCTCCTTATCGACCACTCCACATAGTGCCAGAATCTGTATGCCATTTCTCTAGTTTCAGCAAGCCTCCATAACACAAAACAAATATTGTAAGCGAGTTCCTCGTTCAAATGGATGACGTACGAGACTCCAAAATCTTCCACGTACTAACTTTGATCCCAGTGTTGAAAAGCTATTCAAACGATAAAATCCACCATCCATTCACAACACTTTCAAGAAGAACCACTTACAAACTTGTGCCAAAAAAAGTCCAAAAATATAGCACGAAGGCCACTATTTTCTACCGCTACTTGACATATGCAATATGCTAAGGAGGTGGAGCAATGGTTTTCTGGAAAAAACAATCTGCTTATCAGTTGCAGCTTATCTTCATAACGTTAAAAGATTTAGGCTACACAAGACCATAGTAAATGAAGATTTAATACTTCTGGCAATCATACAAGAATTAATATGAAATGGCTACTTCTTGCATAAAGCTGACCAATCGTTAACAAAACAGTACAATACGTCCAACATGCAACAAGTCACTGGAACAACAACAACAACAAAAGATGATAATCGTTAGGAAAGTGTTATTTGAATCGAAAACAGGGTCGAGAAGAAATAACAATGACAATTTTTGTAACCTGTGCTAAATCAAGAAGGAAGTGAGACCCGTTTTCCGCAGACTATCACTTTGCATTTAGCGAGTTTTGCTCTGAACAAATTTTCAACATCTTCGGTTTCTTGCTGATCACCAACTGTTTCTCTGTACGCATCTAAAACTGCACTTCGCAATCTCTTCACCTGAAAATTTCTAGTAAAAATTAACAGAAAAACTACCAATGATATAACCAAAAAATAAAAGGCAGGGAACAAAAAGCCAAACACGGCAATAATAGAGTTTGCTAGCAGAAGAGAGCTTCATAGAGACAGCAAGAAGAATTAAGCATGAATATAATAAATACTCGAGAAAGTTTTCCAGACAAAGATGGAGCGAGAAAGAAGAGATGCCAAAGGTAGACAACCAAAACAGCGCTGAGATATTTGCAAAACTCCGGACCGTAGGTGCGCGGTGGTGACCGAACTCACTATTAACCTTTCCGGGGGATAGCGCGTTCATCACAGCACCATGAGTGTCATTCGCTATGCCTTTTCCTCACCTGGTTTTCTATCTACCAGGGCTATCAGCAACCACCCGTTAGAGGGACTGATGATGGGTGATGGCAGCGTTAGGTAGAAAACTAGCTGAAAACGCAGAGCGAGGGCCTACCTCGTGCAGTGTGTAATGGGCGAATCCCGGATAGGGTAATCATGATTTGATCTGGCCTAGGGTCCAAGTTTTGAGAATATCTCAGCATCATTGTAGTTGTACTATATAAATGTTCTCTTCGCTACTTTTCTTAAATTGCTTTTGCTAAGAACAACATGCACCAGAGACAGAAAATTCATACCTTCATTTCACCGCCAGCTTCACGCAGTTTCCTTTTTATTGTAGATTTCCACTTGAAAGAAATAGATGACAAGGTGTCCTAAGAAAAAAGTGTACGATATTTACGCTTCAGAATCAATTACGGTGTTAATAATCAGTAAAAGTTAGAAGATTTGCTCACTAAAGTGAGCGTAATCTACGATCACTAGGGTAATCTAAGTGCTCACTAGCAAAACTGACTAGATCGAGATCTTGCACAAAAAGCAAAAGTGGCAGGAACATCACAATGAGAAACACTTTGACACTTTGGACACATGAAACAGTACCTCGTTGTTGCTAATCCGAACTGTCCCATTCTCTTCGATGGTGTCAGATGAAGTACAAGCATTCTCCACCTGTACAGATAAGTTAAATTATAACCAAATAACTAAACAACAACAGCTACTCATGTCCTTAAATCTAAAAACGGACGTAGAAAAAAGATACCGGTAGTTTATGTCCTTCTCCGTTCACTTTTTTCACTTCCCCTTGTTCTTTTAGTTTTAAAGCCTCAGCAGATATAGCAGCCCAAGCCATTTTACAGAGTTTGACATCTCGAATACGACATGAATTCGTGAGAAAATTTACGAACTTTGCCTCCTGAACGGTTGCTTCATAAGCAAAATGTAGCACCAGTAATAAGTGAATGAACCTTCCGGGGAATATTGTTGTATCCCTGAATATTCTGCAGCAATTCTTTTAATCGTGGCTCCGTGACGTATTCAATGGCACGTTGCACTTGCTCACACCATGCATTTTGTTTTACTTCGCCCTAAAACCTCTTTAAATTAGTTTACTCCAAGCTGGCCTTTGCATACCGTAAATAAATGTACTCGGATACTTGGATGGCCTGTCTTAACTGGTTGTGCGCGCCACAGCATGGTTTCCATTTTTCGGAGTTTTGCTTATTTAGCCATTGTAGTTCCCTGGAATCACGAGGACAGCGTGGCCAAAGTCTACCCCAGGTTTTCACCACCACGGGCAGTCGTAGCCCTTCTGGATCAGAGGAAAATTTGCCATCATGCGACTTTGATACCAGGGCGGTGGTGGATCCTGGTATTGGTATTTTTCCTGCTTAGCTGGGTTTCCTGATGGAAACGCCGGACCACTTCCCAGATTGGGAGACCCTGCTGGGCGATGAATCCTCGCTTTACATCGCAACCCGACACACAGGAACACCTCCCAACGAAGAGGTGTTAAACACTTGGGAGGAATGCACGATATGTACGGAACGAATAACGACAAATTTATGTACCTTTGCTTCTTTTTGCACATAATTCTTCGACCCATACTTCTGGTTTTCGCTCAGACATTTCACATGTTTTTGATAGGTATGAGGTCTGAAACCGTGGTAATAAAGTAAGACAGAAGATAATTTATTATATCAAGCAACGCAACAAACAATGATTTAAGCTTCTACACACACCGCATTAGTTAAAAGAAAAACAACTTTATCTAGGTTAAGAAAAAAAGCGGAAGGTGGAAAAACCACCGACCCGGTGGTCAGAGTTCCTCACTTAAAGTCTAGAGGGAAGATACGATGCTCAACGAGTCCCTAGAGCGAGCAGAATCCACTCGGCTACTCTTGTAGGTGATTAAGGGAAATGTAAGATATACTGGTCTTGGACCTGCTTGAGTCACCTGACAATCAACGGGACGACACGTGATCCAGGTGAAGGAAGAAAACCAACGATAGCAACAAAACTGCATTATATTCGAGCACTAAGGGTGAATATAGCATAGTGGGTAAAGGTGCCCACGAAACACATAGCCTCGATCCTGCGCCACAAGTTCACCAAGCCTATTCCATTTTGAAATTTGATATTCCTCCGGGGTCGTCGGATGAGCACCATACCCGTCCACGAGGATAAGAGCACTAACTCTATACGTCGGTAGAACACTCCGAATATCGATCTACCCCAACAGCTTCATTCTTTATTCTACCATTAGTAAACACTTTATAGAAAAAATTACAACAGATCCAGTCTAGAAGATGGAGTGACAAATAATCATAGCAAGAACTAGGTGGACAAATACCTAACAAACTCACGTGAAAGAAACTTGACAATCAATACAGCTATAACTTTGAGAGTGACACCTATAGCTATGTTTCTCTACCTGAAAATATTACACTATCTTCGCCACAGTAGCTTTTACGATCTAAGCACACGAATGGTATGGGTTCATTGTAAGAAAATCGTCTAATAACTATGAATCAAAAAAGGCAATATCACGATGACATCACATTCACTGTTTATGTCCCTATAAGAAAAAGCATACTACTTACTCCCGGAAAAGGTAACAGCGCATTCGTTCCCCACCGCGGATACCTGCGGTCCTTAGTTTGGCAAATTTCTCAGTATCATTATGGTTGTACTTCACATAATACCCTGCAGTGAAAAACTGTAGTAGACAGTAAATAAAAAGTTAACATACTACCTACTATTTATTGTGCGGGTATATGTGTATCGACATCAACACATAAGTAGAGGCGAGAAGAAGATTGTGCCAGTTTCAATCCATTTCCTTTCTGGATGTTTACTTTATGCGAGCAGTTTTGATGATAACGTAATCAACCACCTAACCAACATATATTTTGTTCCGAATGTGGTCCGTGAAAAGTGAACTTATACACTTAACAACACGCAAAAATTGATTTTCGCACCAATCTGCTTGTCTGGCAGCGGCACAATTCCTGTTCAAAGCGATTATATCTATTATATCACCTTCCAAAGACACTGTCCGTGGTGAGGAGAACACTACGATTCTCCCACGCAAGCATACGGTGTGGGCTCTCATTGTTTTCACAGTGTACTTTCAGGAAAACCACAAGTTTCCTTTTGTGGTTAAATATGGATTGGGATATAAAATGATAGCGAAAACGAAGGCGCGTCAATAAATGTGGTAAAATCCCCTACCAAAGGGTAATGGCCTCATGTTTGAACCCTGGATTTTTGCCAGCGTTAACAATTTTCAGGAAGGGTACGGCACGTGGTACCGCAATTAGTGTGGGTGATATATAGAACATAAAAAGCGTCAGAAAATAGGAATACACATAAGAATCCAAATTTCAGAGTAAAAATTGGCCCGCGTATGATCTACGGAGCCACAGATCTCACGGATTTAGTCTAAAGCACAAAACATCGTGCAAGAAACTAGTTCCAGAGCTCGCCACGCAAGACTAGACATAGTGCTAACTCTTTTATCTACTGTCTACTACAGCTTTTCACGGCAGCGTATTATGTGAAACACAACCTCAAATATGGTGAGATATTTGCAAAACTCCAGGTTGCAGCTGTCTGCCATGGAGATCGAACACGCTATTACACTTTCCGGGGACCAATGCGTTCACCACGACACCACCCAGGTCCTTGGTTTCACCTTTTTTTCGACTAATTTTCTATATACCATTGCCATCAGCAGTCACCCGTCAACGAAATTAATCTGGGAAGCACAAACCAGCATTGAACAAAATTAAGTTGGGGTTGTAGTTGAAACCACAATGTTAATTCCTGTTTATTGCGTACTAAAATTTAATTGGGTTCAATGCCGATTTCTACGCTGCAGATCAATTACGTTGGTGACTGATTGCTGATGGTACAGGTGGGCAGCAAACCAGCTGACAGAAAGGCGAAACGAAGGATCCACATGGTGTGGTGGTGAACGCGTTAGCCGCTGGGACGGTAATAGCGAGTTCGGTAACCAATGCACACCTGCGGTCCGGAGTTTTGCAAAGTATCTCAGCATCATTTTAGTTGTATTTCACTAGAAATTGTTGCGAATGTGTTAATAATCAATGTTGCAAACAATACATCTTAAAGAAGATACTACCTGATTCTTCTTCAGTGACTCTCCACAATGATCACAAGTGAAGAACACCATCTAAAAGATATCCTGCTCCTTGACAACAGCTTTAAAAAATCAAACCGAAGGTATTTAGCACACTGAACTATACAGCAGAGAAACCAAGATTAGAAATCACAACTACGTACTTTTACCACGAAGTCTTTATGCGCATACCATAATCCTTTCAAAGCAAATGGCTAACCTAAACTGTGAGAACTCTACACATAACATATTTATAGCTATCAATATCTAAAGAAGATAAATATCTCAATATAGAAAAGGTATTACCAACAAACTGCACAATTGCCCCGAATAATGAAAAAAGAAAGAAAAGACGCAGGTCAATGGGTAGCCCTATCACAGATACAACTGAAAACCGTTATAAAAACCAACAAATGCGCAGAAGTGATGGAACTTAATGGAAAAAGTTCAGTGAAATCCGATCATGGGAAACAATAGAGCTATTAGCGACATATACTTCACTGAGGAACAAGAAATTGGAAGATCCGCAATACCTTGATCAGTAATAATACTGAATTAAGTCTAGATTTGTAAAAGAACCTTGAAGCAGGAATTCTTCTAGTTCCAATAAAAAATGAAGTTATTATAAAAATAGATACAGTATTTCCTTCTCATGTAAGAGGAAGAGGCAAAAAATAGCATTAAATTATTAAGAAGATAAAGATATGGAACACAGATACCATCATTTAAAAAACGCCCAACAGACGTAATATACATAGTTATAAAACTTGGGTAATCTAAGCAGAATCAGAACAATTTAGACTAGAGAAGTCTATCTATCTGTCATCTTAATCTGAAAAGCTCTACTTAGGGAAACAAAAAAAAAAAGAGGAATGACACTATTCATAAGTGATGTTTCAGATAGAATCTCTGCACAGATATTATCCTCAACTTCCTGATGAAGTTAAAATGGTGGAGAACAGAATGGATAAAAAACAACTCGGTGGCAGATCTACCGTCATAATTGTTTTCTGGAAATTACGACCACAAAACTACATCAAAAGCTACTTGGACAAAGATTTAATGGCCCATCCCCAATGCAGTGCAAATTTGTCGACACATTAAGTGTCCTTCTCTATGACAGTCGGCAGAAGGTTGTAGCCTCCGGCTGTTATCCCAACAGTAGACAATAGAATAACACTTTTTCCATGAAAGTCGTAGTAGAGCGTCGAGTGAAAGGCAATATTGGAAAGAACAATACAATATTCAGCTAATGCGAACATCGTATACACTCCTGGTTCACAATAAGTGTTGTGCCTCCAGTAAAGGTACATTGCAAGCAGTAAAGAGATGATCGAAACAAAACAGGATAAGATTTTGTATTCATACGAACGTTCACCCTGGAAAAGGAACCATCGATTGTCCAATACCGTAAGACCGTGCCAAGAGAACATAAAGTGGCACTAAAAATGAAAAAATTACCAAATTTGTTGCTCTTCGACGACCTGAATAGTCAAAAAGCCATGTGCTGAGTAACATATACGTCGTAGCAGTAGCGGCAAAGGCAGTAAAACATAACTTGTGGAGCACTAAAGAAAGATTGTACAGTGTAATAGGAAATCCTGGTGTAACATGGGAAAAAGGAAGGATGCAAACGAAGCGATAGACGAATCCTTACCATGGTTCTCTACGGATGAGATTGTGGTTAGTCCTAGGAGTAACATGTTTTCCAAAATATTCAAAGCACACGCTATTCGGCACAATATCCTAAACACGCGCACACCTGACAGAGGTCGCAGTGGTGAGAATAGAAGATAGTTCCTGAAGCACAAGAAGAAATTCATTAAAAATCAAGAATAATTCCTAAATATAAGTGGCAATCCAGAAAATCAAGAGTAGTTATTGCGCACACTCGTAGTGATGGTCAGATATTGGCAAAACTTGGACCTCATGCCAGACTGAACCATATTATCGTTTCGGGGGCTCAAGTGTTAAGCACGGCACCATTGAGGCCAGCGCTCTGCAATTCTCTCAGCAATTCTTTTCACCCTAACGGTGCTATCCTAACCTGAAGCACAGGAAGGAATCCATATAAAAAAGAGTATCAATGCAAAATACCTATTCTGTGCACTATTTCAACAAGGCGATTTCCGTAAAGTTACTGACAGTAACATGAACCTGAATGCAAAGGCGACAAATAAACGTGGTCCACCATGCACAGCGATAAACATTCGCCAAATATATATTTCAGGTGCATAACTTGAAACAGCAGCGGAAATCGATGGCAACCTGAAAACTATGGAAATCTTGTAAAAAAGTCCGATATAAAGGAAAAGCTCTCGGCGTTGATCAATCCCTGAGATATGCACCATGCATTCGACTTCATTAAGTATTGTTAGAAGAGATTGGACGCATATCTGACCTTTGCAATGACTCGCGGTGGCCTACCGATGTATCGCGCCGGCGCTACTATCCTCCCAGACAAGTCTGCTACCAATTTGCCGACCCCGGAGAGATGGAAGACTTGCTGGCCCAAGGGCGCGGGATCAATTCCACGTGCGTGTCGCAGTGGCGCCTCCAACCACTGCGCCACACGTGCCCTTCGAAAGTCTAATATAAACGTGAAAATCTTTTCTTCCGTCATGCAAATGAACTCACACATTTTTCGTGTGTTATTTTATCTTGCTTCCTAACGGCTTACCACCTCATCGCTACTCGGAAGTATTCCTGGGTGTCGGGTTGCGATATACAGTAGGGTTCATCCTACCGCTAGGGTCTCCCAAACTGAGAGAGACCGGTGTTTCCATTAGGAAGACCAGCTAAGAGTAAACTAATACCAGGGTCAGCCACCGACCTGGTGTCAAGCTAGCCAAATGGTGGGAAACCTCCCTCTTATCCACAAGGGCGGCAACTGCCTACGGTGGTGACGACCTGTGTAACACTTTGGCTTAGCTAACCTCGGGACTCCAGGGACCACAATGGATAAACCAGCAAATCCCCACCTCCCACAAAAAAGAAATAGAAATTATGCTGGAAAACGCACAATCACTGAAGACAGCCCATCCATGTATCCAAGTATTAGTATTCTATCGTGAAACGTGAATCTTAATTACACTGTCCCTAGCAAACAACATTTTAAAGGTAACAAAGCCATAGTACATCTAGATATATTTAATTATCCAGTTTTAGTTGCACTGGTACATTCTACTACAAACCTTGCGCCTGCTAAAGTCTCTTTTCGAAAGAATGTGAATTTGATTACGTCCTCCTCGTTTTCAACAAATTCATGTTGGCATTAGCTCAACATAGCAAAAAACGCATAGAAATAAGACGTTTCTGTTTAAAATACTCTGCGAGAAACCAGCAAACCTAAGTCTAGCCTGAAATAATCGAAGCATGACAAACGGATAAAGGTTGATGCTTAAAATGGAACAAAGAACATTAGGTATAGTACTTCCATTACTTGGTCACTTGGATACTTGGTTGGCCGGTCTTCACTAATTGTGCGGACCTCGGCATAATTTCCAATTTTCCGGAGTTTTTCTGGTTTAGCTGATTTGATTCCCTGGAGTTCTGAGGTCAGTCTAGCCAAGCTGCTGTGGATCGGAGGGAGATTGTCCACGATGGGACCAGTTTGATATCAGGACGGTGATAATCGAAGCATAAAAAACGGATAAAGGTTGGATCCTGGCATTGGTTTACTCTTAGCTGGGCTTTCTGATAGAAACACCGGACTCTTTCTCAGCTTAGGATACCCTGCTGGGGTAATGAATCCCCCCGCTGTAAACCGCAGCCTGACACCCAGGAACACCTCCCAGCTACGATGAGGCGGTAAACCATTAGGCGGAGTACTGCCACTGATATTACTCTTTAAAAAGACATACCAATTCTCCACTGCACAATGTGTTCTTGTCGCAGCCTCATAATGTAGAACAACTGAACAGAGCACACAGATAATGAGAGCCGACAAAGGTAAACCAGCTATGATGAATACGAATAATCGGAAAGGCAAGGAGAAGATCTCATCGTCCCCATACGCCATTGTCTGGATTGGATAGTGGCAAAAGTACCATGAAATGGACCATATTAACGAAATCAACCATTCGTTTCCAGCCGATCTCATAATGTTCACAACAACATCAAAAGCAGAATTAGAGTGTAGGTATTCCCTAAAGTTCTACTTGATTTATGTTAGAGAACCCACATACCCAGTTTATTGAGTGCACTATTTCCGTCTGAGCTTTCATATGCATAGGATTTCTGGCATGCTTCTGTTACGGCATTTGTTTTACCACACTCTGACTAAAACCTGCCCAAAAGAGACAAGAAACCCTGAGAATAAAGGTTGACACCTGGTTGTTTACTACTTTCCTCCAAGTGATCACGGTTCGAACCAAAAGAAGTGTAAGCTTTTACTATTCATAGTTATTCAACGTTCAGAAACTCGACGAGGTAGATATGAAAGTCATTATTTAATAAGGACCTAGTACTATCGTACTTTGTCTCAGTAACGATTAAACACTTTGTTTGGCTTGACTTAATCTCAATTAGAAATCAGTCATCAGCCATCAGAAATCAAACGCTTTGAACAAAGGCTCTGAGGCAAAAATCGGTATTCGACGGTGAACTTTAAACTAGAACACACAAGCGACTTATAAGTCATTCATTAAAAGCATTGAAAATAAAGAAGAAACATGCTAAATCCAACAAAATAACGAAAACCATATGTGACAAGTCATAACTACCGATACTTTCCTTTCCATTTGATATTATAGTGAGAAAGCCAACTAGAGCAATTCTGCATATTATACTTAATAACACGATCCCAATTGAACGGATTCTGGTTATGCTCCATGATTTCTTTCTCAAGAGTCCGTCGTTCACGCAGGATCTGCTCACTCACGAATTCCACAGGAAACGAGAATCGTTCACAAAGGTAGAGTAAAAATGACTGGGCCTAAACAAAAACCATTGATCTGGCTCGGCTTAATGACGAAAAGGCCTTACAGTCAAAACGAAAAATGAAACTAGTCTGAAGAAAAACACCAGAGTGGTAGTGAAATAATACTTCCCAGGATTGACTTTCTATTAATCTCGGCACTGGAATATGAATGCGCCGTTTTCTTGTTCAGAAATCGCGAGATTTTTAAACACCATACATTTACTTCCATAGAGAAACACAATAAAATACAACACTAGCTGACGTTTCGGCAATATCGCCTTCTTCAGAGCCGCTTTTTTACGTGAGTTGCAAGGAAGGATGAGGAAAGGATAGACATCAACCATACGCGACTATAATCAGGTGTTCTAAACTTCCTTACTGGAAGTCACGTAAAAGCGGCTCTGAAGAATGCGATACTGCCGAAACGTCAGCTAGTGTTGTACTGTATTGTGTTTCTCTATGGAAGTAAATGTATGCTGTTTAAAAACCTCGCGATTGCTGAACAAGAAAACGAAGCATTTATACGAAATAATACTGCTCCTTAATGATGCTGAGATATTTCGCGAAACTTCGGACCGCTGGTGTCTGCAGTGGAGGACGAACGCGGTATTACCTTTTCCGGGAGCTAATGCGTTCACCACTATACCATCTGACGCCTTTCATTTCGCCTTTTTCGCAACCGTGCTATTGACATTGTAATAGTCCTGTTTCTAACAAAGTCGAACAGTAAATGAAGATCAGTCCAATCATAAATGAATCGCTACAAAGTAAAAGACAATATAGAACGGAAAAAGAACTGGTGAAGTGTAACCTCTATTTCCGTAATGTGACCTCCAACTTCTAGAATAATTCGCTTTGCTTTAACCGGTGTCACATAGTGATGAATACTTCCTTTGCCACCACCGAGACGAGTACCTAAGTGGGCGATAAAGTACATATATGAATAACAGACACGAGAGACTTAACTTTTACCTTGAGCCTTCTTTGTTCTAGGTAGCCATGGAGGATCAACACGCCAAATAGCGAACTGTTTATTGAGAAGGTTCTTGTTGACGCGTTCCTTAAAACATGACAATCAATATTTCTTCAACTGAGTTCAAGAACGAAGACTCAAGACAAAAGTCAGGATTTGTCCAAAACACTGTCGGCCACATTGACACCAAAACAAGTAGTTCTAACACGAAATCGTAGCACCTATACTTAGTAAAATAGTATTTACACCTTAGAGATGAAGAGAAAGAATATCTAGGAACGAAAAAAGATCATTCCCAACCTAAGGAGATAGCATCTAACGCAACTCTTAAACAATGTAAAACAAAAAGCGTCCTAGTTCTCACGTTAATTTGTAGGTAATTGTAAACTACTTCATACTTATTTACAATTTTTTTTATTTTCTACGACCCGTCTTCAGATCCACTGTGCAGATACCAGTGCATCGTATCCTCGAACCTATCGTCCACTAAAATCTTCCATTTTACGTGTGACTTCGGGTGCTGTTTGACGGTTTTCGTTTCATATGTGATACATCGAGTCGTGAAATGTCCCGGCTGGAGCGTTCCCATAGGATTCCAGAGAGCGACTTTTTTCCAAACAAGTCTTGTACCAATTTTCCGACCAAGCAGTGATGATAGGCCTTGTAAGCTTAGGGCGAAATTGAACCAAGAACGTGCTCGTGACGACCGACACCACGAACACTGTGCTATCCGGCCCTCTTATTTATAAAGCTATCGTTAAAGCCATATTGGCTCCTAAACAACAGATTACCTGAATAAAGTTGAAGTCATCAGCTGATATGAAACCACCTGATACAGCGGCAAGGCCAAACTGTTGATGAATTAGATACGTATGAACTTCCTCCACACCACGAGCCTCAATCATTCGTTTTGTGGTTTTGTACCTAAAAAGACGAGCTATAGACGTAAGTACGACTTAAAATGTATTCGCTGTAAGAATTTTCGTGTATTGAAAAAATCCACTCCCATGACTAACTTTGCCTCACCCTTCTCTGGATCGTAAAATGGTTCGGGGGGCATTTTAGGCAACTTGTACTCTCCATTGGGAGGAAAATTTACGTCTGTAAAAGTTATGTTACTTCATCAATACTTTGAAGAGTCGATTCAATGAAAATGAACTCACTTTCAAAGGTCACAGGAAAGGGGTATTTTCTCATACCCCGAATACTAAGGAAAATATTGGCGAACTCCTTCATTACGAGGGATCGAGGTCCCAAACTCATTGCTAGAAATAATAAAGGTTATAACTTCTGGACACTTATTTCAATGGACAGCAAGAGAAATACAGTATACAAAAGTCTGCCAGACAAAATGAAGGGATGCAATAGTTCGAGTATTCGAAAATGTTTTATACTTTAATGCAGAGAACAAAAAAAGGAAGAAAAAAGAACGAGAGGAAAGAGAGAAAAAAAGGAACAAAAAGAAGAACTTAAAAACACACGCTGTGTAGAACCAGTATAAACATGGACTCTACTCTTTGGCTCCTCAACATTGAGAGTGCAAAAGTAAAGAGTAAACAGTAAAACTTGAAATACAAAACACTTTTCCAAGCATTCTGGCCTCCGTGAATACACCGATCGTCATGACTCTGAACATCGTCAGTTGCGATGCAGTCGCGTCGCGTCCTCAAATTTGATGAGATACATTTTCAGTTTACAAATTTGTTTTGTTTCCTTCTGGTAATCGTTCTTAAAGTTCGCTTTGTATCCAGAAGTAAACAGAGGATGCACTAAATACGGAGACCCTGACCTCAGGAGATCGAACCAACGACTTCATTCGCAAAGGTGGCACTCTCGTAAGACAAGCTATACGGTCACCATGTCAGGAAATATTTCCGTTTCTTCGAGAAAAACGACTGTTTCTTCCAGAGAAATACCGTATAAAATTGTGTAAAGTATAGGATGCGGGACGACGGAATCAATCGTTTGTCCTGTCGATCGATATGTAATTCGTTATGGTCGCTTCACTCAGAATGAATCGTAACAAAAGCTACTGAAAGCTAAACTGCTTCCAAATGTCGCCTTATTACTCACCTTAAGTGGAGAAGTACTGGCTCAGACGGCTCGAAAGTCTGCTATAGATTGCTTATGAACCGTCTTTAACAAATGATTTCCCTTGAAATTTGTTTTCACTTGCTTACTTGGTCACTTGGATGACTCATCTTCACTTCTGTTGTTTCGGAGTTTTGCTGGTTGAGCCATTGTGGTTCCCTGAAGTCCCGTCGTTAACCTAGCCAAGGTTTGCCCCAGGTCGCCACCACAGGCAGTCGCCGCCCTTGTGGTTCAGAGGGAGATTTCTACCATGCGCCTAGTTTGGTATCGGGACGGCGGTGGATCTTGGTACTGGTTTACTCTCAGCTGGGCTTGCCGATGGAAACGGGGGATTGGGAGCCTGTTGGGGAGATGAATCCCCCCACTGTACATCGAAGCCCGACATTCAGGAACACGATGAGGCGCTAAACGGTTAGGAAGTCTTTTGAATTAGTGATTTTAAAGTTCTCCAGACGTTTCAATTATATTTTCCAGTGGCAGTGTCTCTAAGAATCATCATTATCCGCTCTAACGAGTAGATTTTGATTGATGTAGGGAGATTAACGAAGCGCAAGGTGATCCTGACGGTATCCAGTTGATGCCAACGATGATGTCAACTTGCTGACGGCGAGGGTAGAGGCACAGAATGCGACCACTTTCTTCGGTTTACATCTTTTTTGAAATTTGCTCTACTCTTTTCTGGTAAGCTAAGGTTCACTAGGTTCTTCAGGTCCCTACGTTTCGGTTAGTGCACCTTTAGGAAAGGAAAAGCTGTCCGTTCCGAGTTGAAAACCGAGACACGATGGCTACCGATTCGACAACGTTTGGGTCTTCATGGAGAACTTGTTGTGTTCAGCAGCAACTTTTCGAGTTTCTTTAACATTATTGTAACCAATGTTCGTATAAATTTGACATGGTTTGGTTACTACTTTACAACGTGTACAATGAAGTCTTCTATTCGACATTCGATTGTTTGTTGCTGTTTCTGTTGTTCCTGTCGTTGTTGCTGTTGTTGTTATTGTTGTTGTCCACTAAATGACGGCTTCTGTTTCTGTGATATCTCTGAGTGATTACTCAATCCGTAGTAGACTCTTAACTGATATGTTTTCAGTTTAGTACCACGAAACTCCGTCCTAACGAAATGTCACTTTCTGCGTTGTTAAAGGAGCATCAGCAAAGGCAAGTGCTGCGCAAAGAAGAACAGGGTTGGTGGCACCTTTATTATCATCGAAGGTATTGTACACATATGGTAGTGATGCCGGTCATCATGAACAAGATGCTTGTTCGATCCGGCTCCGGGGCCACCAAGTCCCTCATCCCTCCGGGATTGGGAAATTGGTGCGAGATTTTTTTCGGGAAAAGGTCTTTCTGTGCGATCCAATTGGGAACGCTCCAGTTAGATCATATCAGGACTCAATTAAGTATCGATTTGACCAGCATTCTACGGCATTAAGATGAAATGAAAATCCTTAAGCAGCAGGAGAAGCCATACATAAAATTTTGAGCATCTTCGTGGATGAAGGATTCGAGGGAAGGAATCGAATGTGAGAATTACTGGGATTTGCACAGTAGATTGAAGACGGATCGTATAAAAAGAAACAAAGAAGAAAAAGTTGTACATATCGGGTATCCCTTTCTCTATTATATTAAGAGATTATTCCAGAAAAACTGAAGAACGAAGCAATCGTAGCAGCCCACAACCTATCCTCAGCCGTTGTCGACCACCTTAATCTGAGGTTGGTGGAACAAGGTTCATGAGAAAATTTTAGAAGCGAGCTGGGAACTACCGGTCTGTGAAACAACATGTGGAATATAAATGCTTCATTTCTTTATGAAGAATTCTCTTGTCATGCAGTAAAGGTACCAAGCAACAATTTCTTTTAATAAAGTGGAATACCTGGGTCAGAACCGAACAGTGACGTCGACGGAAAAGCCCCGTGGTACAAAGTGAACTACTTCCAAACCTCGTATGTCATTTCATTCGTGCATAGAGTACAATGCATTTCGAGTTTTATGTGTTAACAAAGGTATTAAACAGCTCACTTCCTCCTGTTCTGTGAAAGATAAAACTAGTATAATAACTGATTATTATGACCTTAGTTAAAATCACATTGCAGCTCGATTACCTGTGCTCCCTTAGAACTCTATAGTACGAAGGAATTCGGATAGTCTTTTTGTGCTGTACTTTAACATATTATCTGTTGAAGATGTTTATACACTAGCTATCTATACATTGACACCTAATCGATATTTTCTTGTAGAAACACACTTTTAAGAGTGTCACAGGCGTATGGGAATCAGAAACGCTTAGACGTGGAGGCGAAGCGTTTTGAAAATAACGCCGCTGCATTGTGCAAGCACTCAGAACAGTGGCTGGCGATCGCGGAATCTCTCAACCATGCACTTAAGGTATACGAATTACATAGTAATACGTTGTAATTCAATATCTTAACATAAATGAGCTTCTGTTCTTTCTAAACACTGACTTGAATACTTAGATGGTCCATCCTCATTGGTTGTGCAGGCCCCAGCATAACTTCAATTTTTCGGAGTTTTCCTGGTTTAGCTGTTATGGTTCCCTGCAATCCCGGGGTCAAGCTAGCCAAACTGCTCCGGTTCGTCACCACTACGGACAGTTGCCGTCCTTGTGGATCAGAGCGAATTTACCAAGACCTGACTAGTTTAAGACTAGAACGGTGGTGGATCCTAATTTGATTTACTCCTAGCTAGGCTAGGCTAGGCGATGGAAACGCCGCACTTCTTTTCAACTTTGGAGACTTTGCTTGGGTGGTGAATCCCCTTTGCCCACGCTGTATATCGCAGGTCGACACCTTGGAACACCTTCCAGCCACGGTGAGGCGATAAACCGTAGAGGTGGTTCCTTATAAACACAGTAAGTAGACAAAGAAAATTTCTAGCGTTTTTAGCTGCGCTTTAGATGGGCAGAAAAAACACTGCAACCCTTCTGGCAAATCTCATAACCTTCTTCCCGACATCATCTGCAGCCATTGATACTGCGTTATTACAAAATGTACTAAGCATCAAAAATATTCTTCAGGAGATTGGCGACGTAGAGAATTGGGCAAGAGCCATCCAAAACGACATGACAGTCATCACGACTACGCTTCAACGACTATATCAGGGTAAACCTTGTTTTGGTCGTGGAAAAGTAGATTTGAGCGAAAAGTCTGTTTTATTAAATGGCAGGTGTTCCTCTTGCCATTTTTGAATCTTCGCTCACTTTCCCACTTGTCTTTCACAGATTGATCTCATGAACGTATTCATGTTTTCTAACACATCTCTTTAGCAACTCTATATCCTTTATGCAATTTTTAGATCTCAACAACAAAAAACCTTAACATCATAGAAAAGAAACATTTCAAGTTGAAATGGATATCTTCTGAATACTTTGGACGAAGTATGATCATTTGTACACGTGAAGATCACAAACGAAATAAAAATTTTACAAATATACGTAACAAATCAGAAAGCTCTTTAGAGTTATGGTACACTAAATGAGTGGCATATTGTGAACAATGTTTGGATTGGTGGCGTAGTACTGATAGCAGTACAAGCGATGAAAATGATCCAATAAATCATGTTTTGTAGAAACGAACAAAACAACTGCAAACATCGGAGTCAATGAACCACGTTGACAGTGTTGCGACAAGACATCATGGACTATATATGGGAAAGTACAACCCATTATAATTTTTCCATTTCTTCCGTGAGCTTTTCAATCTCGCTTTCATACTCAGATTTTCGTCCAATTTTTATTAATTGATTAGGAAGCGGAATGATTTCGCCGCTACTTATTCTTTCCTGAAAAGATACCCTCTACTCTTAGGTGGTAATGGAGATCTTCCTTTCTTTCCTTTGTTTTATATGTATTTCTATTATACGCATGATCTTAAAATGAGATATAACAAACCTCTAGTTTCGCTATCTCCTCCAGTTTAAGTTTCGCCTTATCGATTTTCTTCTGAATTTGTTCTTGTGGAGTAATCGCTGCATTTGGTTTAAATATTGCTGAAACCAATTAATTATGCTTAATGCGTCTGTCCTATTTCGCTTAACTGCTCAAACCTGCTATGGGTTGACGGGGACCGGATGTGACTTGTTTCATGTTTCGTGGTGTCATACCTACCACTACTCGACCACGACTTGCTGTCGCCACCTGCACCGGATTCTGGTATCTGGGTTGTTCTTCCTGTGGGATGTATCTGAAATCACATGCGCAAAGGTTACGCATTGATATGCTTATAGGACGGAGTGTTTCAGTATAGAGCGACATCCGGTATGACTCTATTTCTTAGAAATTTTGTCCTAATACTCTTTTAGGAACATAAAATCATATTAAAGGACATTGTTTAGTAACATCTATAATAAGCTTCACTCATTGAATTTTTGGAACTACTCTGCAATATTCTGTTGTATAAAACTCGTTACTGGTAGTGCATATATATCAAATCTTGCTTTCTAAGGTACAATAAAAAGTAAGCGCTTAGAATTTTCACAAGACCGATCTCAGTAAATTCTGTGAGTGTGGGAACCATTCCCACTTGACAAATGTTCCACTGGTTTGGGAGGGTTTTCCTTCAAAGTACCGAGACCGATTCAGTAACAGCTAAGTGTTGTCGTTATGGCACTTCGTAATCATTATAGTTAGGACAAGGTTTGCCGCTTTGTCCTACAATAATAATAGCATACTTTAGGGATGGGAAGTTACCTTTCCTATGAGGTGGACATTAGCACGGACATTCAAGTTTGCTAATTTTTCAACAGTGGTAAAGAAAATCTGTTCTTATATTCTTACAGAAGAACGTAAGAAATGACTTTATTTGGGGACCTGTTAATCCCAGCATTGGTCAACAATTCGCTGTTTTCTTGATAAGACCATGCGAGGTCGTTACCATACTCATTATTCACAAATGCTGACGTTTCGGCGGATTTGGCCTTCTTCAGAGCTTGGAAAGATAAAGTTGAATGAAATCTAGTCAGCCGTAGGAACTCTGTGCGGTTGGTCACCACGTGGAATACTCAGTCGTAGTCATAGAAAGCTCATAGGAAACGGTGAGTGTGCGAAGAAGCTATTTTGTTCCCAATGTAGTTGAAATCTTGGTTTCATAATCTTTATTCTGGGGTTATGGAGGTACTTGGCTGACTAGAATGCGATTAACTTGACCTTTCCAGGCCCTGAAAAAGCTAGATCTCCCGAAATGTCAGCTTTTGTGAATAAAGATTATACTAACAGCTTCGCGAGTGCTTATCGAGAAAACAGCAAATTATGCCAGATAAAATTTAAAAAGTTAGATAAAAACTGACTAACCCGTCCTTCACTCGTCTCGCCTTCCTCCATGATCCATCTGGTCTCTGGGTTGCCGCAATGAATGTCTCTCCTAACAAAATAGTATAAAATTAAAATAAAATCTCAGCGATGAAGTAACTCAATTTTAAGAGTTAGTGTCTAGGAGACTATTTGGATCACGCGTCATAATAATACAAACCTTGGCTTGTTCTTACTCGCAAGTCTCCGCCTTCTTGTTTACCGCTTGCCATCTAGTATGTTTCACAAATTTTTTGAGGTAGACGTACTCAAAAGACGTACACAGTTGTGGGCTAGATAGACCAGTAATGTTGAAAGATAAGCAGAGGCTCTCATATTTGGAAAATTTTATTTCCATGTGTTTTTTTTTCTTAGCATGAATCTCTTGATTCCTCACAGAGTAACATCAAAATATATCAAACAATTAGAGATCCGTTGAGGAAACTGTGGTGGTTATTCAATGAGCAACATATCACATCTAGTAAAAGAATTACAAAATACGAAATTAGGTTAGTTAATTAGTTAGTTGCTCGTGCAAAACAATGATGAATTCTGAGAGCACACAGGATTCTATTACGGACCGGTAATCGGGAAAAATACAAATGTTGAGGATATTCAGACCATGGATCTGTCCCTGAGTAGAGCAGCAGCGAACATTGAATTGTCTACTATCGTGTGTAACCTGCATCTTTACAGGGAACCATTGGGATAGTTGCAATGGAATGGTCATTGTCATTAAATCCTCCTCATAGTCTGAAAATTGAAGCGCTCTTAGGTCTGATTTAACTCAAACGTGTGCTAGGATGTGCTAGATACCAATACCATAGTAATACCAATACCACAATACCAATCACATCTAACAACTAGACAATATTGCTAGTACCAGTTACTTCTAAGCGCCGTCAAAGAAGGCCAATCTAGTCGTCTTCAGTTAAAACGACGATACTACCGAGATCGGACAGATTATAGCGAAACGGTTCGTTCCATCATTAATGACCATGACCAGATCCAATTCGTCATTTCGACATTGGGGAGATGCTATTTCTATATGAAGTCTAATGGGAACTCAGATGGGATCTAAAACAATAAGCACTTGATTGATGAACAACAACTGTTAATCGACAGGGCTAGAGATCATGGGAAAATCACAAAATTAGTCTGGTAACTAGAAATTCCGAGATTTACGTGCTGAATCGTATGAGAATTTGTTGAGAGGAGAATCAGTGTAAAACTTTTGCGGATCGTTAGGTTAGAAAACTATACGAATGTCGGCCACTCTCATTGGATAAAAATTATAGGCACCAAAGACTACGAGTGAGAATAAAACGATTAGCAATAAGAAAAAAAAATAACTACGTAAGAAACATCAAGGAGCAAGAAAACCAGGTAGAAAATGTCACAAGTAGTTGGTTTTAAATGTGATACACCAGAAAGCCAGCGTCTACCGGCTGGCCTGGTTAGCTTAAAACGAAATAATGAAAATTTGTTGAAAGAGGAAAGTGCACTGTTCATAGGACTAGACTTTCTCAACCGCTGCGGAATTTCGACTGTTTATACTACTGATAGCTCGAGCAGCTTTTGGTATTCGAGCACTATCAGGATGCCGACAATTTGGACAAAACCATTTTCCTTTCGGTTTTGTAGTCAGACCGATGCATTCAAAATGGAACCATTCGATTTCACACTTGTCATTGTCGCAGCCGATCATTTCACCGAACGATATCTATAAGTATTTTAACAGATATATAAAACATGTATTGTATATTTACTACTGTTTAATAACAGATCCAGAAATGCGTACCCGACTGCAGAAACAGTATGTCGGTTCGTCTTCCTCTTTCGCCTTTGCTCGAGGCGTTTTACTCAGACGATTACTCGTCCGTTTCTTTACGCCATTTTCTTTCTTGGACTATAAGAGCAACAAAATACCAAGTAGTGAGCAGTAAAGTAGAACATCACAAAAAAGTAGCAGTAAAGCTTGTGAGAACATTATGTCTTTGGAATACTCACCTTCTTCTCGACTTGTGTTGTAGATGATGGTATTTGTGTAGATCGACGCTTATTTACAACACGATTATTCGTTACAGGCGTTTCAGACATACCATCCACGTGATTTGCTATGTACGACTGCTGGAAAGGACGAAAGCGGTCAAGATGTTTAATCAATCCGGATTTTCTTCGTACGTGAAATTAGGAAACGATGTGAAGTGAAGAATTACAGAATCACAAGGAGAAACAAATACAAACTGTATTCAACGTGTAAATTTAAATTGTTGAGTTTACACGAGGTTGTCATACAACTTCTATTCGGCTAACGTTTCGACGTCTTTGTCTTCATCAGAGTCGATGATCCGAATCGATAGTCTACGGTTGTTCGTCTTCTCGATGTGGCTTCTTCATCTTCGTACCAAGTTGGATCTTCCTCCGTGAAGCACCTCTCGAAGTAGACATCCTCACCCGGTGATGCTCTTTTGTGCAGGATGTTGGTTGTTAATAGTAGTGAATGCCCAGTGATAACAACTCGTCAATGAAGATGACGACGTCGAAACGTTAACCGAACAAAGGTTATGTAACGACCTCGTATAAGCTCAACAATTTACACACGTGTTGACTAGTCATGCCGAGATTAAAGGAAAGTGGGTTTCGAAATGTACATTGTACTCTTAAACACTCCAATATATGTGATGATTGATCCATCATGATGACTACGCTTAGTCAAGGAGATGTTTCAGTGTTATCCGGAAGTAAAATTTAGGAAAAGATGAGTAAACTATGAAGTACTGGAAAACCTCAGTATAAAGTACTCCGGAAAAAGCTGTAAACGATAACAAAGTGAACTTTTTTCGTTACAGGTTCATAAATGAATATTGTAGAACACTTGGTAGTGTATGTATGGCAATTTATCACTTGAAAAACGCAAAGTTGATGATGAATTTACCTTGGAAGCTGACGCTTTCTCTCGTTGAATTGCTCGATCCGACTTTGAGGAAGTTGGTACTTCTTTTTCCTTTCGGTCTTTTTTAGTTGCTTTACCACGCTTCACTAAAAAGTTATTAGTGGTCCAAAACCGAAATTCTTTCAAGAAGAACTAGTTTATTAGGCACTGAATGCAAAAAGGAAAAAAATGAAGTAGGAACAACAGGACCACAGTTACGAATAGTTGGTTTTTTCTCTGTTTTAGCTTCTTCACACATATGGATTCTATTCCAACGGTAATTTACTGGGCATCCCAAAAACAATTATAGAGAGCAAGAAAGGTAGTAAGAAAGAATTCAGGAAAGTATGGAAAGATTAGCTAGGGCACGAAGCCAAGAGAACTTTCACAGTCCTGCACAATCCAATATATCCTGCATTGGCATAGAAAAGAACATAAATGACAAAAGAAAGCAGTTCAAGTCCTAGGGACCATTCATAAGTTCTAAGAAATTCGCTTATACAGTTTCAAAGTAAATTTGGACAACAAATGCGTCTTAATTCACGTATGTTGGAGCTCTGATGGATCGCCCAAACCCGAAAAATAGCGTAATTTCCCACACGGGTGATGGGCTCCACCTCACCTCGTTCATTTCCGCGATATCCAACTTACACGTACTTAGACATATAGAACAAGACAGTAAAGAAGAGAACTGTACAATGCTAAATTCACTAACCTTTCACTTCTTGTGGCCGATGTTTGTTGATTTCCTCGAAAACGACGGCAGCTTGTTGAGCAGCGATATCACGTGCTGCACAGGACGCACTTTGAAGACAAATCAGATGAGCGTTCAGCTACAACGAAACTTTCAAAGTACAGTAGAAAAAATACAGTAAGTTAGAGTATAGACAACATACTAATGCGACAAAACCTACGGTTCGAGTAGCTTCTCGTCGTTGTTCTATCCGAATAGCCACATCATTCTGCGTTGAGGTACTAGGAGATAAGGCTGCCAAGGAATTCACTAGACTATCCATCCGCTCAACAATAGAATTTTGGATATCGTTGATGTTCACACAATAGCAACTCCGATAGCTGAAAAATTCTGAATTCTGAAAAGCTGAAAAAAAAATACGAGAAAGAACAATGCATAGGAAATTATGAAATAAACGGATGTCCGTTGCAATTACGAATTGATAAAACTATAAAATAATAGAAATAAAACAACTGAGAAGTAAGTACAAAATGTTATCAAGTCCGTTATAATATCTATAAACGTTTTAAAACGATCATAGAAAGTGTTCTCCCAAACGATTTATCGCCTCATCGTTGGTGGTAGGTGTTAGTGGGTATCGGACTGCGATGTATAGCGCGGGATTCACCATCCCAGCAGGGCTTCCCAAGTGTAGAAGGAGTCCGCCCTTTCTATCAAGAAGCCCAGCTAAGAGTAAACCAATACCAGGATCCACCACTGTTATCCCGGTGTCAAACTGGTCGCGTCGTGGGAAATCTCGCTCTGATCCACAAGCGTAGTGTCTACCAGTGGTGGCGACGACCTGGAGCACTTTGGCTAAGCCGACCACGGGACTGCAGAGAACTACAGTAGCTAAACCAGAAAAACTCCCAGAAAGCAGGAATTACGTTCGGGCCCGTACAACCAGTGAAGACGGGCCATCCAAGTATTCAAGTAAGTAGTATAGACAGTGATTAACGGTTAGGAAGTACTTATAAGAACACAACGGATATTTCAGTGCAAATCGCTAACATTTGCTGCTGTTTAGCACCTGAGCAGTTCTTATGGTAGTGACTTTATGTAGGTCCAGAAACATTAGACGATAAAGGATAAACCTTTCGGCATTGATTAATACCTGCGTTATGCACCATGCATTTGACTACATCAAGCCTCGTTAGAGTTGACTGAATGCATATCTGGCCTTTACAATGACTCGTGGTGGTCTACGGATGTACCGAACCAGTGCTGCCACCCTCCCAGACAGGCCTGGTATCAATTTGCCGACCCCGGAGGCGCGAAAAGTTAGGTGAGCCTAGGGCACGGGATCTATCCCATGTGTATTGCAAGGCGCCTCTAACCACTACGCTACACGCACCCCTTCCGGCTGGATTAACGATCGAAAATTACGCAAAGATAGGAAATAAATCGTTTATATACAGCGAAAACTTAACAAATACAGAAGGAATAACTTTACTGAGACATACTGACCTTCTGTCAAAAGAGTCAAACATTGCCAACGCGTGTGCCATTCGTAAGGCGGCGATTTTCGGCCGTTGAATTACTGGCTTTCCGGACGAAGTACTCGGTTTACTCGTTTCCGGTTCCACTTTCTTCTCTTTGTTCGATTTCAAGCTGACTTTCATGGATGGTTTTGATACTGCCGGCGTTGCAGCAGACGCCGGCATGAATTGGTTCGAGAGAACACGCAGCGGCCTACGCGACAGCCTGATCAACTTCCTGAAAGAAAGAAGCTCACAAGTACTACAATGAAACAGTAACCGAGATGTTGTAGCTATGAATGAACAGTGAGCAATAGTGTATGAACAGCGTGACGCAAGCAGAAAAAGAATCGCCAAAAAGTGCGGAAACGGTCGGCACAACGGTAAGCTACGGGTTTACTGGAAAAGTAAAAAGTTTAACATAAAAAGCGATCAAAAGAAGATAAAGGATGTAAAAAAAAAAGACTAGAGAAATACGAACGTTCAAACATTCTAGAGACGCTTACTAACCAACAACATAAACATAATTCCAAAAACGTACAGTTTGGCGTTAAATTAGCCAGAAGATCAAAGAGCTTAAAGCTCATAGCACTAGTCATCCTTAAGAGATAGAGCGATAAACGCTTTGTGAATCTAAAAATAAACACTTCTATACAACTTGCTACTTGGATAGTGCTAGAACAACGTCCGTACGGTTTTCACCATGGGAGGTCTCTCTGTTGTTGCCACAAACGAAAGACAAGTAACCAAACGATTTAACACCACACAGGTACACGCTAAACGACAAGCGGTACTGAATACAGGACTTAGTAGTACTCTAAGTGATAGACAGGACTAAGGAACGGTACGGAGGGTATCAGAGGCAACACGGCCACCATGCGAAAACGGCGTCTCTGCCAGCCTTCTCTTCGTCTCTGCCCAACGACACCGGCTCGTTTCTTTGCACACTCTTCCACACGAAGCGTGATCTCGACGTCGTTGACACTGCTTCTCTGCGCTCTCGTCTGTTGACCACGCGATAACCGGCGTTCTTCTACACTCTACCCGATTTCTCTTCCAGTTTTACAATTCCAGTTTCAAGTCTTCGTTCATCAATCGACGAACTACATCACCAGTAACTCAAGCAGATCTTATTCAACAGCTATCGCTTAGCCAATACTTCTAATTATCACGTGACTCGCGTTATCCGAGTTCAGGTACTATCGAGAACTTCGGTTAGAAGGACGAGCAGATGAACACTTCTCCATGCTATAGTACCATAGCAGTAACCAAGACTCTTGGGCCACCCTAGCGGCGCATACCTAATTATCCGGTCCTTTTAGTTCCTGGACCACCTTCTTTTTCCTTTTCTCTTTGTCTTTATTCATCCAATTTCCTGTCGAGTGTTTCGTCATTCTCTAACGGTTTCCTTTTATTAGGTTGTCTAGATATTTACTTCATCGAAAAGCACTGCTCAACTGCGATGTTTTGGTTTCAAAGATGGTAGTCAGTACAGTTCTAACACATTTTCAGTAGTATCTTAGAATTTTTGAAAACATCAATGCTTAGGGAAGTTTCTAAAGGGAACCTCCCAACGGTTTACTGCCTCCCCGTGGTTGGGAGGTGTTCTCGGGTTTCGGGCTGCGATGTACAGCGGGAGAGTTCATCTCCCCAGCAGAGCCTCCCAAGTTGAGATGGAGTCCGACGTTCCCATCAGAAAGCCCAGCTAAGAGTAAACCAATATCAGGATTCACCACCGTCAAGTGTGAAAATAGTCTCGTGTTGGCAAATCTCCCTCTGATCCACAAGTGCGGCGACTGTCTGTGGTGGTGACGACATGGGGCACAATTTCGCTGGGCTGACCTTGGGACTCCAGGGAACCAAATTGGCTAAACCAGCAAAGCTCCGAAAAAATTGAAATTGTATCCGGGCCAGCCCGCGCAGTCACTGAGGATGGGCTATCCAAGTATCCGAATAAGTAAGTTTAAAGGAAAAATAAATGATATTGCAAAGAGTTTAGTCTAAGAAAAGCTGATTTTTGAACTATTTTTAGTCTTAATTGTAGAAATCATAATCATTTCTAGTTGTTCTCTTCATGTGCTTCATCTGTTCCACTAGGTATTCTCCTACTTTTGGAATAAAACCGTCGTATACAGCAAGCCGTGTGTATTGTATTCCATTCGTGATCTAACGATTCCATCATACAATTCTAATACACATTCATGGTAATTCGATACCTATCCTCTGCACTTTAGTAGTGGTGTTGATTTCTGTTGGGCGTATTTGTTTCACTTGATCGACTCTGACCTGTTATTGATTGATTTTTTCTATAATATTATTTTCTAAGACTCACA